TCATCCACAACTAGACTGAAGAACAAAACGACAACAACTTGTCTGTTCCCCTTCCCCAATTCCCCAGCACTGTTCCCATCCCCCGAATTCCCCAATAAAAAATCTTAAAAAAAAAAAAAAAGACAGAGTACACTGTGCCCCAGCTCAACCCACAGACTCCTCATCGGAACACCCATAGCTTGACTGCCCAAAGGGGACCAGCAGGTCACAAGGTCAGGACACATGTGGGGGACGAGGGGTTCCCGTAGGCACATGGTGTTTGTAGGTTGGACTCCATAGAATATTCTTTGCTTCCACAAAGAAACAGCCTCTTCTATCTACATTTGTCTTGAAATTCAAGGGCATCTTTGGTTAATTTGTTTTCCTACTTCGGTCCAGACACATGGTTTATAGAAATAGTTCCCTTTGCTCTTATGATGACTACAGGAAAATCAAAAGTTCAAGCCCAAGGGTAAATGGTAACTGAAACCAGCTTCAGTATAAGGGAGACAATAGGGAAAAGTGGCGACTGTGACAAAAGGGGGTAACATTAGGAAACATGGACCTAGGATTTATCACTGTCCCCTATGTTAAAAAACCAAGAAACTCAGGTTTTTCATAAAAATTCTCCATTTTAAAAACTCTACATGGATTGAACCAATCACATCAGAGTGCTGGATTCAGCCTCTGAACCACCAGTTTGCAAACCCTGATCTAATCCACGGGTGGTTAAAAGACCTAGGTGCTTTCTCCTCCAGCCTTCTCTGCTCACTCAAGCGGAGACCCTGTATGTGAGAAACTTCTGGCTTCCTTTATTTCTTCCATCTAGGCCGTTAACCCCACCTGTGGCCCACGCCTGTCCTGTGTCCCAACACAGGAACCAAATGGAATTCTGAAAGAGCCTGCACAGGGATTCACCTGTGGGTGGATATCAGCGCTCAGCCATGTGGGAGGGTCCTGAGCTCCCCTCTCTTATAAATCACAGGCCACCAGGAGGCAAATATCTCTCTCTCTCCCTGCTAACTTGAAGCAGCTTCCGGAACCACCACCACACACCACCACGCCCCCCTGCCCCGCCCCGAAACTTACCCCAAAAGAGGAAGTTCAAAGCAGAAAAAGACAGAAATTAAAACACAAAAAAGCTGGTTGGACAGAAAACCTCAAGGGCACTGGAAATAGCAAAATGCTCACCTGCCAACCAACCAACCAATCTCTTCGGGGCCTGCTTGATCCTGGGAGACAGGTCAAAGTCCCGGGCACGGCTTCTGCCTTCCTCACTAGCCACGTCTGCCACTGCCCGCCCCCCCCCACACACACACACACAACTGCTGCTTTTCTGCCCTGAAGAACACCTGCTTTGTCCCACTTGCAAGTTCTATTCCCTCTGCTAGGAATATTTGTCTCCTCCCTCTCAGCCAACTCCTATTCATGCGTCAGGGCTCAGCCTAAAATGACGCTGCCTCAGGGAAGCCCTCCCTGATCACACCCAGACAAGGTCGGGGTCCCTCTGCTATTTACCCTCCTGGATCCTGGATATGTTCTTCCTCTTCCCTGCACATTTCTCCATGGTTACCCCTCAGGTCTCCTCAGAGAGGCTTTCTCCGCATCTTGTCTTGCAGACACGGATACCGCTATCATATCACCCCATTTTCTGTTATGTTCACCCCATGTTATGTTCTGCACGGCATTCATCACAATTTAGAGGTTTTGTGTGACACGCTCCTGTGGCATTACCAGTGCCTTGAATATAGTAGGGGTTCGAGGTGTTGAATGAAGCAGGTCCACTTCACCAGGAACCCCAGGACACCCCTAAGACAGGGGTGGGCTGGTCTGAAACTCCTACTGCTCCATTTAAAAGCCAAAAGTGGGTCTTAGGAGAAGGGCTGGTGTGGGAGGGACCTGCTGCCCAGGCCTGTCCCCAAACCAGATCTCCCTTCTCCAGCTCCCTTGCCCATCTACAAACAGCTTCAGCTCAGGAACCTGCTAATGAATTAAGCTTTAAGTAGAGGCTGCAAATGACTCTGCTCTAGCAGTTTCTGCTTCTCTTGGTAAATAAACTTCAGTAAGCGCTCTAAATGGGTTTATTGCCGAACGGAGCTACAGGGAGCTGGGCTCTTCATTACAGCTTTTACAAATGAGCGTGAGCCAACCCGTGTCTGAGTTAAAGAGAGCCCTGAGTGAGAAAATGAACTTAATGCCCACAGTTTCTCTTGAAGGCTGTCCCTAATAGAGACAAAATAAAGCGGAAGTTTAGCCACTGGGCACGGTGACATCTCCCTGCTGAGAGCCAGGGAGAGAAGGAACAAGAAAGACACTCAAGTTACTTACACCAATGAAAAACTGTAGACAGCCTAAGAGCCCATCCCTGGGGACATAGCTCATAAGTACATACACCCATAGGACATCCCCTATTCCTGGAGGACCTCAGTCTTCCCAGCTATAAAATCGACGTTAACAACCTCCTAGCCACTGAGTCACTGCCAGGATGCAGTGTCATATCATCCATGAACAGAGTTCCGCACCCTGCTGTACACGGTCTGTGCCTAGGGAATGGGAGTCATTATTATTTAATTGTGGAATACTAGAAAGGCAAAGAATGACATAGACCTACACTCGCCTCTATGGAAGCCACCAGCTTCAAATGACTGTTGAGCCCTTAAAATGTGGGTGGTCCGAGCTGAGATGTGTTATAAGTTCAATAGTGGAAACCTGATTTGGAAAACGCAGTACAAAGAAAAGAACGGTAAAAAATCTCATTACATGTTCTTACACTGATTACGTGTTGAATTGATATACTGGATACACTGTTATTTAAAACATATTGAAACTAATTGCACCTGTTTCTTTTTCCTTTTTTATGTGGCCCCTAGAGCATTTAACATTACACGAATGGCTCACATTTGTGGCTCAGATTAGATTTCTATTGGACACCCCTTACGGATACATTCTGACATGGAACTATGTCCATGCTGGTTTTTTATAATTGAGATATCATTCACATACCATAAAATTCACCGTTTTAAAGTATACAATTCGGTGGTTTTCAGTCTAGTTACAAAGTTGTGCAACCATCACCACTAATTCCAGAACATTTTCATCACCCGGGAAAGAAGCCCTGTATCTCTCCATTAGCGGTCACCTCCTCTTTGCCCATGCTGTTCTGAGTAAAGAAAAGCGAGTTGCAGAACAGTAGTACAGTATCAAGTGGGGTTTTATAAAAACGAATATATATTATTATTTACATGCCATATCTGTGAATACATTTTTAAATGTTTGCAACGGTGTACACCAGACTCTTAGCGATAGTCATCTCTGGGAACTAGAGTCGGGATGGGAGAGAAAAGGGGGCGGGTGCTCACCCTTTATTTTATATAATTCTGTACTGCTTTTGAGATTTAAAACGAGCACGAGTTGGATTTCTAGCCCTACGTACGTAGTAACTCCTGGTGAACTTGGGTCAATAACTTCTCCACGGCACTGTCAACAGACCGGCTTCAGCTGGAAGGTTAAGGGTCTAGATTTAGATCTACTTTTTATTCTATGCGTTCAAAATAGAAAGTACAGCCAGAGACTAGGTCTTCTCCCTCCTAGCAACAGACGGGACCGTGGCCGGGTGCGTCCCCGCACAGGCGCAGCCTGCCCGCCTCCTCCCGGGCATCTGGCAAGCAGCTCGGAGCGGGGCGCCAGAGGGCCCCGGCAGGGGGTCTGCGTCCCCCAGGGTCCAGCCTAGCAAAGGGCAGCGGCTCCCAGCGCGCGTAGGTCCGGCGCCCCGGCCTGTGTGGGGGAGCCCCCGTGGTGGGGGGATGGGAGCCGAGTCTGAGTCCCCGGAATCCGTGGGCGGGCAGAGATGCGCGACCTGCCGCGCCAGGCAGCCGCCGCTCCGCAGAGGACGGGACCCTTCGGGCCTCCCGCTTCAGGCCCGAAGCCCCTGCGTCCGGTGCTTCCGATAAGATGCTGCGGGGAAGCGGAGGGTTCAGGTCTGGGTCCCGGGTCGCCAGGGGCCCGCGCCCGCCTACTCTGCCCCTGGGGCGCGAGGGTCTCCCCCATCTCCATCCCCCGCCCCCCCCTACCTCAGCCCGGGGCTCGGGAGTCAGGAAGAGCGCGAGCTCGCGCGCCCCGCTGCGCACGGGCTCCGGCCGGTCGGCGTCCACGAGCAGCATCAGGAGCGCGGCGGGGTCCGGCTGGCGGAGGCTGCCGGGGAGCCGGTCACGGCGCCCCGACCTCGGAGCCCCGCCCCCGGCCTGTCGCACGCCCCGCGGCCCGCCTGGCGGAGGGGGCAGCGCCACCTGGTGGCGCGCGCTGCTCGCGGCTCCGGGCCCTCGCGCCGCTCGGTGAACCAGGGATTCTGCAACTCGCTTGCAGATTGCGGTCTCCCGGGGCCCTCATCAAACTCCCCACATCCAGGCCGCGCGCGGTCTCTGGGGCTGGAGCCTGGGCATCGCCAATACTTTTCGAAGCTCGCCAGGTGGTTTCCACATACATCCGAGTTTGAGAACCATCGCTATAGATGATCGCTTTCCACTGGTATCCGGGGGAGTGTGTGTGTGTGTGTTGGGGGGGGGCAGTGTTTCCCAGCCGTCCCCGGCACTTTAACACGCCCTGGGGAGCTTTTAATAGCCGGGAAGCAAGGCCTCACCCCGGGCCGATTCAACCATCATCGCTGGGGGCGGGGCTTCGGCATCCGTTGTGTTTAAAGCTCCGCGGGCGCCCCAGCGTGCGTCCGGGATAGGGATCCGCTGTCCTAGAGAATCCTTCCATTTAAAGACCAGAGCGTCCCGCCCGCAAGGCCTGTCCTCCGGCCACTGGGCCAGGAGGAGCGTGTGGGGAAATGAGGGAACGCGGGGGTGGCGGCCTTCCTCCTCCCAGAGGCAGCTTTTAAAATAAGCTCCCCGGGGAATTCTTCAGCGCCCTAAACCTGACCCCTCAAACACCCCTAGGAGGCTTGTCTAGACCCTTTAGACTCCGAGGCTGGAGAGGGTGGGGTGCATCCCCACAAAGCCATGCCCTATATTAAAGTTCTAAACAAGGTAAAGAGGTATGGGGAAGTCTAGAGTTCTAATTTTCCCCATGATAACTTTTCTTTTAAAATGTTAAACTCGTTTTTTAAAATCGGGCTGGGTTTAGGGTTGCAAATAAATATACAGGACGCCTCTCCCCCCCCCCCCCCCCCC